TGTTTAGTATTCCACATATGAGTACAATCATATGGTATTTGTCTTTCTCTTTTGGACTTATTTCACTTAGCATAATACCCTCAAGATCCATCCATGTGGTATCAAATCGCAAGATTTCCTTTTTTTTAAAAAAAAATATATTCTTATTGGGGTGACATTTACTTCTTTTTTATGGCTGAGTAGTACTTTATTGTATGTATGTACCACATCTTTACCCATTCATCTGTCAGTGGGCACTTAGAGTGCTTCCATATCTTGGCTATTGTAAATAATCCTGCAATGAACGTAGGGATACATATATGTTTTCAAATTGGTGTTTTGAAATTATTCTGATAAATACCCAAAAGTGGAATTGCTTGGTCATCAGGTAGTTCTCTTTTTAATTTTTGTGAGAACTCTTCATAGTGTTTTCCATAGCGGCTGCACCGATTTACGATCTCACCAACAGTGCACAAGGGTTCCTTTTCCCACATCTTCACCAATACTTCTTGATTGTTGATAATAGCCACTTTGACAGGTGGGGCACTTCTCTGATGACTAGTGAGGCTAAGCATTGTTTCCTATGTCTATTGGCCATCTGTATGTCCTCTTTGGAAAAATATATATTCAGGTATTCTGCCCATTTTTAAAAAATCAGATCATTGTTGTTTTATGTTGAATTGTCTGAGTTCTTTATTTATTTTGGATATTAATCCCTTACCAGATAACTGATTTGCAAATTCTTCTACCATTCAGTAAGTTGTCTTTTTGCTTTGTTGATGGTTTCCTTTGGGGTGCAAAAGCTTTGATGTAGTCCTATTTGTTTAGTTTTGTTTTTGTTGTCTTTGCCTTAGGAGTCATAACCAAAAAAATTGCTAAGATAATATTAAAGAGTTTATTGCTTATGTTTCTTTCCAGGAGCTTTATGGTTTCAGTTCATATATTTAAGTCTTTAACCCATTTTGAGATTATTTTTGTATATGGTATAAGAAAGTGGTCTAATTTCGGTTCTTTGTGCATGGATCTGTTCAGCTTCCCCAGCACTATTTATTGAAGAGACTGTCTTTACCACTTTGCATATTCTTGCCTTCTTTGTCATAGATTAACTGACACATAAACATCGGTTTATTTCTGGGCTCCCTGTTTCATTGATCTATGTTAATATGCCAGCACCATACTGTTTTGATTACTATAATATTGTAGTGTAGTTTGGTGTCAGGTAGTGTGATAGTTCAAACTTTCATCTTTTTTTTAAATCAAGATTGCTGTGGCTATTTGGGCTCTTTTTGTTGGATTCATTTTATATGAGCTCATAATGCATTATTTTCTAAAATCGTTATTGTTGAAAGTATTACATGTGTCCTCCTTTTTCCCTCCATTGGACCCTTCTAGTCCACCCTCACCTCCCACCCCAGGCCTTCACCACCCTATTGTCTGTGTCCATGGGTTATGCATATATGCATACAAATCTTTGGTTTATTTCATGTAGGGCACCTGGTTTTAAATATTTTCTACATTGCTGTAGTGACATTCTTCACTAGCCCTAGACAGTATTTCAATTTTAGTATGATACATATATCAATTCTTGGAATCTTGTCTGGAATTAAACATCAACTAAGTTCAAAAGTAATTATTTTTTTTATTTCAACTCTATAAAGTATACAACAGGCACTCGGCAATTACAGCTGCAGGAAAAATACAGAGCAAATCAAAGCAGGTTAAGTTTATGAAAAAGTTTTAATCTACATCAAAAGAGTGCAAGTGGTCAATGACCATCTGATGACAGTTGTTGCATTCTGACTAACAAAGAACCCTTTCATGTAGAACAAATTGTAAGAGGGCAATCAAGTAACCATAACTGTAAGAGTACAAAAGAACTGACCAGTTGTAAAAACATCATACATTGAAATAAATTTGATAGATGAAGCTCCAAGAAATGTCCCTCTACTGGAAAAGCCCAAACCTCTGAGTCATTGCTAAGGTCCCAGAGCTCTCTGTTGACGCAGGGGCCGACAGAGAGGAGGGCTAACTACACACTGCCAATGTTCGGCTTGCTAGGACTGCTGAAAACTTGCCTCATAAATGATTTGCATATACAAGAACTCTGAGGAAGCATCCTGTTTTGTTGAGTGGTGCACCAAGGTACTTTCTCATCATTGGTTTCATAACGAGGTTTGGTGAGCCGTCATTTTCGAATTTTTCTCTTGAGTTGGACCTTTGTTAATGGAGTCTATAAAAGATACTAGAACTTGGGAGTACTAATCTTCTAAACTGAATCTGCACAGCTTCAAAACAGGGGAATGCCTGTGTACAGACTGATAGTATGTCATATATTAATTTGACCTGCACATACATTTATACATTTCACAGAAATGACGCTGTATCTCATTAACAGATACACAGCTCTGGTACATGTAACAGAAATAACAGAACAACTTCATCATTTCTGTAATTCATCAGTATTATATAATAAAGGCTTATAAATTGTTAGCAGAAAGAACTGTAAAACGCAGCAAGCTAAGAAAGGACAACATTTTGAGGTGTGTTTGTCTTTGTCATGCAGCATAACACCAAATTTGTTCTTTTTAAAATAGGATGCCATGAATTTAAGGCACTTGCAACAATGCCAGATAGCCAGGTTGTGTTCTAAACTATGGGACAGATGTGTAACAGTACAGTTGACATAATTTTCAATAATACTGACAATTATGACATTAATTCAAGTCTACTTAGACCTAAAAACATTATTCAATACAAACAAAATGAAATAATAATGCTGTGAAACACTAAAAAAACTTATATGTACCACAAAATATCACACAAAAATACCTATTTACATAAATATTTGTCTGTGGTCCTATTGTGAAAGAAAACATTGTTAAGGATAATGCACAGATCACCTTTATTGCATGAAATCAGTTCCAATAGCCTTAATTTCAATATGGTAGCTGACTTCCTTCAATTTAAGTTTATCATCAGTGTAGTCATTTAGAAATGAAACAAGGAAAATTCAATAGTTAAATTTATATATTATACATGTGTAGTTCACACGCATATCCCATAATTTTAAATTAAAATTAGGACTTGTAAAGAATATAATAAACATAAATGTTTTAAATGCCACATGAATCTGATTCATATATTAATAACAAAGAAGGTACAAATGTAAAAAATCATTCATAGCAATTTTCCAGATATCATTTTTATAATGTTACTTAATCTATCTGATATACACTATTATGTTGTTCCTTTCCTTGGCAGTTTTCAGTTTTCCTGTAAGTCAAGATACACAGAAAGCCCTTATTTCCCATACTTGAAGTATTAACAAGAAAGTCAGTTAACAAATCAAACAGGTTGTCACTATTCTAACTTACCCAGATGTTCTTTAGTGTGGGAAAACAGAGGGCATGAAAAAATGAGAAGTAAAGTGAGACACACTCTATGAAGCTGACCATGAATTTTAGCCCTAGTGTCTTCACTGAGACAAGATTTAAATCCTTAAAATTCAATGTTGAAAATTAAATGAACGTTCTCTGTTAGTAATTCTTGGATGATGTAGTTCACTTGAATTTCTGGGTGATTGCTTTAGGCATCCTAATGCAATTCCATCGATGAAATTAACAAAGATGCAAAAACACGTGGGAGAAACGACCTACAGGTCCATGATGCTGAATACTACTGCTTCCTTCTAGAGAACTTGCACATTGGTTGTCTTAGACTTGAACCACAGTTCCAAAAGCCATAGTAAATGCTAATCTCTGGGGCGATTGAGATATTTGAAAAGTTGCAGGAGCAGATCATTTTACTTAAAGACGAGGTAAAGTTAATAATCTAGCATGCCTAGCCCGCTCTATCTTTTAACAAAAATCACTGAACATTAACCATAATGCCAAAATTGTATATTTTAAAAGTAATATAAAACTTCTAAATTAGCATATGTAGCTGGACTTTAGATGGGCGTGTTTAATTTTATATTCTAAAATCTGTAGAAGGAAGTGGATATTTTGGGGACTAGATCAATTTTGAGAAATTGTAAGGGAGAGAAAAATTCAATAACATAAAAATAACATCTCAGAATAAAAGTTTTAATTTAATTTTATCCTAATTATAATAATGTGCCTTTAATATTTCTATTCTCCAAATTGTTTCTTAGATTATTATATTTTGATAAGATATACTCTAAAGTAGTCTTAGTATGGACAGTTCAAACCAAAATAATAACATATGCCTTCTTGGATACAGTGTAATGATCTAGGTCAGTGGTTGGCAAACTCATTAGTCAACAGAGCCAAAAATCAACAGTATAACGATTGAAATTTCTTTTGAGAGCCAAATTTTTTAAACTTAAACTATATAGGTAGGTACATTGTTATTAACTTAATTAGGGTACTCCTTAGGAAGAGCCACACTCACGGGGCCAAAGAGCCGCATGTGGCTCGCGAGCCGCAGTTTGCCAACCACGGAGATTCTAGGTGGACATATATTTTTTTCAGAAATGTCTACACTTGTTTGACTTTTTTTTTTTTAAACTCTCTACTGGAAAAATGCAAACCCCTTTGTAATATACCAAATTCACACACAGTTCCAAATCAGGATGACAACTTGTAAGCTATGCACTTGTCTGAGTAGATACAATGCTATTTGTCTAGGTAAAACTTCCCAGTGGTTCTGTTGCTTATGACTATTAATAGTCAACTGGCCTGCCAACAAAGGACTCAGTTTAAACTGTTGATCCTTTTCCTCATGTGAAAAAAGCAAAATCAGTGTGATATTTTCAAATCCAACCCTTTCTAGGGAGTATGATATTTCAGGGTTGTAATATTTTTGTTCTAATTAGCTCACTTTATTGTTCTCCTCTCTATTTCCTTCCTACTTTCACACGGACTCATCTCAGCTAATTCATGAAAAGGTTATCAATATATGGCCAAGGTCTTGTCTAGTTTCCCGACCACACATAGGGAAGGTTTCTCATCTGGCGAGTAGACAAATCTCAATGATTTTTGCTTTCTTTCCTTTTTTTCTTTTTTTTTTAGAGGGGAGAGAAGGGGTTCAGGCCTAAGACAAGAAGCTAGTTCAAACAGTTTTTAATCACCTTTCTCCCTCAACCCAGTCTACGTTGTATAAGTAAAATCTGACAGGAGTTTGGTTTGATAAACGTGGTGGAAATGCTTGAGTCTCTGGCTACACATGTAATGATTAGAATTTGTGTTGTCTGAACAGACACTGACATTTACAGATGAAAGATATACATAGCACCTATATAGTTTTTTATTTTTTATTTTTTTTGGATGAATCTTGATCCCTCTCCATCCCGCCCCACCCTGACCCCTAGGGTTTATTTTTATAAAAGGGAATATTTTAAGCCTCAGTTTGAGGGTGTGTTAGGTAATAAATAAAAACCAATTGGCTGCTAGTCACTTATTTCCAGGACCATCTTTAAACACAATATTTTCAAAACATATGAAATGGTTGTGAATTGCTTTTTTCCCCCACTCTGTCATGCCAATTTATCAAAAACAAACGAATTCATGCATGCTTTTTTATTTCAATTCCTCTGTGGAAAACGCATATATACCTGCTATGAGAGTTCTCAGCAGAAGTCATAGCAGTTGTGCTTTTAACATGTCAATTTTTTGAAATCTGTCAGAAAGGAAAGGTAACATTCAGTCTTGTCATCAGGACTGCTGGGAAATGAAATCATGAACTTCTACCACTGGTTTGACATGAACTCTGTGACCAACAGAGGCGTGGTCCTCGTTGGTACGGTATATACACCGGCCTGCGGTAATAGATCCTACAACCCTCACTTGAAGAAAGGGAAGAGCCCAGTTTTTGTACCATAGAAATCTATCGTACCCTATATATTATTATTTTTTTAATCTTCTTGATAATTCTAGCAAGGTACAGACTCTCTGACTAGATGGAAGTGTTTCTTACTGTCTTTCAAATTAGAATCAGAGCGAAGCGAGATCATTGCAACAATAGAAAACATCCTTTTACTGGTGAGAGGCGTTTGCTTCAGGACCACCATGTCAACTGCTATTTTTAGGTTCAAACAGAAAACATGTGAAGAGCACTACTGTCGTCTAAGCAATAAGTCCTAATGCCACTGTAGTTACTGGAGCAGCATCGATCAAAGGCATCATGGTGACCCCGAGCATGAATCTTCTCTATTTCACTCAGGTTTGCTGGCAGCTGTGTCTCAGAAAAAAGCTGTCTTCAGCAAGGCAGAAGCAGGTAAGAGAAATGACATTAGAAGTCTATGTCCCATCCTGAGTTGTCATCGGGTGGTGGTTCGTCACTGTCCTCAGGGAAACTGTCAAAATTGCTTGTGTCTGTGGGTGAAGCAACCTAGAAATGAGAGAATGAACAGTAACAGGGTGTCTGGATTTTTAGCACATCCCATGATCGATGTTAAAATAGCATTTTTTATTCATTCCCTAATCAAATGGCTGTGTTGTTGTTGTTTTTTGTTTGTTTGTTTTATTGTTTTTTTTTTGTTTTTTTTGAGTGTCTACTGGATAGCAGGTTTTGTGCTTGGTGTAATGGGAGTCACAGTGGTGAGTACAAATAAATATGGTTCTTGCGCTCATGGAGTTTTTACTCTAGTAAGAAATATACTGCTATTGTGTGATTGATTATCTATAGATTTTTGTGATTATTTGTTGTACATTGTGGTCAGTGCTATGAAAGAGAAAAGGTGCCATGAGAGTGTAAGTGTCGTCATGGAAAGCCTCTTTGAAAAAGTATTCTTTTAAAACTACAAATCAATGAGTTTGATAAAGAGGGACTAGCACAGACAAAGGTCCGGAGGTGAGAGAGCGCTCCATGCTGAAGTAACCAAGAGAGGCCAACTTGGCTGCTAAGAGAGAAGGGGAGTGGGGTAAGAAATAGGTAAATGGGGAGGAGTCAGGTTATATAGAGTCTTGTAGGCCATCTTAAGGATTTTGTATATTTATTCCATGTAGAATAATGAGTCATTTCTAAACTCAAGCAAAACTCTTGCAATTTACTGGGCACAGTTCAATCTGTAGAGCATCGGTAAACGTAGTGACGAAGCACACTTGTTTTCCCTCATATTCTAATATTTAAAACCATTTACAGATACAAATGTACCCATTTAATATCACCACTACATAAATGGAGACCCCTGATAAATTTAGTTTGGGATAGTGTAGGCTTAAAATTTATTCCTTCAAGTTTCTCATTCTACTCTTGTTCTAAAAACAAAACTCCATGAATGCAATTAGCATTTGTAATGTGAGACATGGTAATGCCATTTTCCTTTCGTTGTAAATAAACATAAACATTAAAATAGAAATGAATCGTTAGAAGTAGGGATATGTTTCTGTCTAAAGAGCAGTCTTGAGTTAGTCCAAAACGAAGGGCATCCATATGAAGGGATCAGGACCACAAAGCAGCCCTCTCCCCTTAGTTAAGATGCAGCACATTTTATTAGACATATGCAGCATTGAATGAAAAATGTGATCAATTAAAACCTATTTCAACTTAATATAAACCCCCTAGTCTCCTTAGTGGACTGGCTATTTAACAAAAGAGAGTTTAAGAAGAGAATTCTTTTTTCTCCCCTACAGTCTGATAAAAGAAAAAAAGAACACAGTTGTGTCTGATAGTGCCTCAAAATAATATGGGGGCAGAATTTCATCTTTTTATGGCTGGGTACTATTCCATTGTATATATGTAAACATCTTCTTTATCCAATCATCCATTGGAGGACACATAGATTGTTTCCTTTCGTGACTATTGTGAATAATGCTGCAATAAATATAGGAGTACAAATACCTTTATGAATTAAGTGTTTTCAAAATTTTGGGGGTAGCTATCCAGAAGAGGGATTGCTAGGTATTATAATTGGTCTATTCGTAAATTTTTTAGGAACATCCATACTGTTTCCATAGAGGCTGCACCAATCTACATTCCCACCAGCAATGCACCAGGGTTCTCTTTTCTCCACATCCTCTCCAACACTTGTTTTTTCTTGTCTTGTTGATAACAACCATTCAAACAGGTGTGAGGTGGTGTCTCATTGTGGTCTTGATTTGCATTTCCCTCATAGCAAGTGAAGTTGAGCATCTCTGGATGTACCTGTTGGCCATCTGGATGTCTTCCTGGGAAAGTGTCTGTTCAGGTCCTCTGCCTATCTTTTAATTGGCTAGGGTTTTTGTTGTTGTTGTTGAGTTGAATGAGTTCTTTGTTTTTGGATATAAAAACCTTATCAAAGGTAACATTTGCAAATGTTACCATTTAATTGGTTGCCTTTTTTGTTGATGGTTCCTTTTGCTGTGCAGAAATTTTTAATTTGATGTAGTCCCATCCATTTATTTTCACATTTACTTCCCTTGATTTTGGGGTCAAGTTCACAAAAACCCCTTTGAAACCCAGACCCATAGTTTAGAATCAACATTTTCTTCTATGTATTTTATTGTTTTAGGTCTTATACTCTAATCGTTAACCCATTTTGAATGATGACCTTTTGTCTATGCTGTCAGATAGCAGTCTAGTTTCAGTCTTTTGCATGTGGCTTTCCAATTTTCCAAACAGCGTTTATTGAAGAGGCTTTCTTTATTGTGTTTTGGACACTTTATGAGAAATTAGTTGCCCATATATGTGTGGCTTTATTTGTGGGCTCTCAATTCTCTTCCATTTTTGTGTGTCTATTTTTCTGCCAATACCATATTGTTTTGAATATTGTGGCTTTGTAATACAGTTTGAAGACAGGAACAAGGGAGGAAGAACTATGTGGGGGCATAAATGAAACATTTTGGCCAGGAATCCATAGCTGTTGAAAATTGTTGCTGGTCTGCTGACCATATCCTACCAGAAACCAGAGGGTAAAGGAATGCTTTGATGTGGCTCTTATGGGTACCAGTGGTTCTCAAACTTCTGGCCCTTTAAATACAGTTCCTCATGTTGTGACCCAACCATAAAATTATTTTCGTTGCTACTTCATAACTGTAATGTTGCTACTGTTATGAATCGTAATGTAAATATCTGATATGCAGGACGGTCTTAGGCGACCCCTGTGAAAGGCTCGTTCGACCGCCAAAGGGGTCGCGACCCACAGGTTGAGAACCGCTGGTAGGCGATTGGAGACAAAGCAAGGTAGAGAGTAAACAGGATTCATAAATAAAAAATAACACACATTATCCTAACTCACCCAAGTATACTCACATAATATACTGTATACTGAACACACATAAAGAAATTTAAAGTATACATGTTTCTAGTAATAATTCATGAATATGACAAATTCATTAAAGTTGTTGAATAATGTATCCTTATTCTTGGGTAATGATGTATAGAGTTTGTAATGGAAAAAAAAACACACCTGGTTGCTGGAGATTCAGTATACTCTTCTGTCTATGCCAGTATATATTTAACACTTACCATACTAAAAGTCAGCTTTTATTCACAAATGAAATAAACTTAAATGAGAATGAATAGTCAAAAAAGGTAATGTTAAAATACATATATAATAACCATCTCCCAGCTTATCTGTTTTTAAGCTTGGGTTTTGGATGTAATAATTTTAATGTGGTACTTCTGTTATCTTTACAGTTTTATCTTATAATCAGATGAAATATAAAATAGATTTTTGATGACGGACAAATGCCTTCATGTGGACAAACACAGACAAACTAGAAGGTCTACTTACACTTGGTATTATAGGAGGTGTCAAGGTGCCTTTTCTTAAGCCTTCCCAATTAAAGCCCTCAAACCATCTAGGAAAGGAAAAAAAGTAAGAGTTAAAAGCAGTTTACCTCAGTTAAAACCTTCTCAATGCAACATATATGATGTCCATGACTGATGGAAAGTGATTAGGGAAACATCTTCAAGGTGACAACAATGTTTTTCATTTAATTGCAGATTTTAAAAAATTAGAATATTTTGTGAAATGCATCTTTCAAGAAATTGAAATGTCAACTCTTTAAACACCAATTAAAAAGCAATTCCTTTTTATTCTAGTAATTTCAGTCATAATGTCTGCATGACCTTGTTCCTACACTATCATTATAACTTTAAAAATGTCATAACATGTTTGGCCCTGTGTCTTACTGAATATTTTATTTTAAGCAAGCAGAATCAGGCATGAACAGTCAGGACAGAACACTATCTTTCCATCTTTGCCACTGATTCATTAGGGAGCCTCAGTTAATTAACCTTTCTCATCTCATTTTCCTCTTTTTTTCTTTTTTAACACAGGGAAGATATTTTGTGGATAGCTTTTTTGTGAAAAAGTGGACCAAATAACACAAAGGGTTTTTTTGTCTTTTTGAAAGAGTTCTCCATTAGCAAATGCTTACACCAAACTCTTAGCAGACCTTTTAGATATTCACAGATATTTCAGTATATAAGTTACTCTGGTAGGGATGTGAATTTCCTGTTAAGTATTACAGAAACAGATGAATAGAGAGAAAAACAGGTTTGTCTGAGGTTAACTCTAGAACATCCAGCAACATGCATAAGGTCTGATATTTAAGATACTCTACTTTTTTAAAGACCATATTTTGTACTTGTTTTTCTTTGTCTTATTTTCGAATTAGGAACTGGTTGGAAAAATATTGTTTTTAATCAAGGAAATATGGGCATGATATGGTGGAGGACTTTTAAGTATTTTGGTAGGAAATGGAATCCTTGGATTAAAATATACATTTCCTCTGGCTAACTATATAAGTTATACAACCACTAACTTAAAACAACAACAACAACAACAAAAAAAACAGACTGGGGAAGTACTTGTCAGGTTTTTTTAAACTTAAATTACAAGGAGAGAATACTTACTTGTGCTTTTGAATGTCTTTCACTCCATTTTTCAAATTCCCTAATCTTTCTGATGGATTGTCCCTAAAAAAAAAAAAAATAACTGTGGTAAGAAATCTATTTTTTTCACATTACCGGCCTTTCAAAAATAATGTGGTTGAAATGCTTACCTGCATAGTTTTTTAATTAAATTAGCAGCATTTTTGGCAATCTTCTTTGGAAATTCTATCATGTCAATCCCTCTCAATATGATGTTATAGGTTTTCATAGGATCTGGGCCTGAGAAAGGTGGGCTGCAAGAATGGAAGACATAAAAAGAGATATTTTTATTTTCTAAATAAGAAAACATAAATTGTTATAACTTCATAAAGGACATTGATTCTTATTTTTATTTTGGGGCTTACATTGGAAAAACAATAGAAACCTTTCTCAGTAAGCCGCTTAGCAAGACCACAAATGTGTCAAGTTTGCCTGTCATTCCTCTCATTTCTCTGTGACTGGAATAGATGTGAACTAAATCTAAACCTAAAACTGGAGATGAATTAATCTTTCTGGGTCAGACTGTGAATACTTGAACAAAACCAGTAGCTAAGAAAGGAATTGGTGTGTGTAGAAGGGGGCTGTAGTTGTGAGAGGGATAGAGAATGGGTCCTGTTGGGACCTTTCTGATTATTAATGTTAAATGGAGCTAGCTACTCTGAAGAACAGAATAAGCAAGGATAGAAGGAAGGGAGCAAGGGGGGAAATTTAGCCTACTTTATTAAGATTTGTTGCCTTAGAAAATCTCTCACTGGATCATTTATTTTACTTGTTCTCAATTCTTGGTGTTCAGGAGGTTACATGGCTCATAGAAAGCTCTACCCTGTTCTCTGAAATCCTATAGTTATCGCTATTCTATTATTTGCTCTGGCACACTTTATTGGCATATCTGTGAGAGATTGCCTGCACCTTAGTTCCTCTACCATTCTGTAGTGGTTAACTGATCTATATATTAACATGCCTTGCTTTTTTAAGATCCATCTATTATTTCCAACCAGAAGTCATTAGATATGACAGGCAGGACCAGATCACTTTGGGGCCATCCTCATAGTCCAAGGTTTGTCAGCCTAATACCTAGTATTCACACCCAGATAAGTACCCAGAAGTGAAATTGCTGTATCATAGGGTAGTTGTATTTTTTATCTTTACTGTTGAAAGTTATACAGATGTACCCTTTTTTTCCCCATTGAACCCTTTTAGCCCACCCATACCTTCACCACACTATTGTCTGTGTCCATGGGTTATGTATAAACTTATTTGGTTAATTTCTTCCCACCCACGCACCCCCCACCTTCCCTCTGAGATTCATCAGTCTGTTCCATGTTTCTATGTCTCTGAATCTATTTTGTTCATCAGTTTATTTTGTTCTTTAGATTCCACATATAAGTGAGATCATGGGATACTCATCTTTCTTTGACTGGCTTATTTCACTTAGCATAATACTCTCTAGGTCCCTCCATGCTGTCTCAAAGGGTAAGAGATTCTTCTTTTTTACTGCTGCATAATATTCCACAGGATAAATGTACCACAGAGTTTTTGTTTGTTTGTTTGTTTTTTATCCATTTGTCTACTGATGGGCACTTGGGGCGTCCTTTTTCTCTGCATCCAGCATTTGTCCTTTGTTTATTTGTTGGTGATAGCCATTCTGACAGGTGTAAAAGGGTACCTCATTGTCATTTTGATTTGCATCTCTCAGAAGATTAGTGACTTTGAGCATTTTTTCATATGTCTCTTGGCCTTCTATATATCCACTTTAGAAAAGTGCCTATTTAGGTTCTTTGGCCATTTTTAAATTGGATTGTTTGTTTTCCTTTAGTTAAGTTGTATGAGTTCATTACATATTTTGGATATTGACACCTTATTAGATGTATCATTGCCAAATATGTTCTTCCATACAGTGGGCTCCCTTTTCATTTTGTTGATGGTTTCCTTTTACTGTGCAGAAGCCTTTTATGTTGATATAGTCCCATTTGTTTATTTTCTCCTTTGTTTCCCTTGCTTTAGGAGATGTATTAGCAACCATATTGCTACGAGAACTGTCTGGGATTTTGCTGCCTGTTTTCTTCTAACATTTTTATGGTTTCTTGACTTATATTTAAGTCCTTTAACCATTTTGAGTTTATTTTTGTGTACGGTGTAAATTGGTGGTCTAGTTTCATTTTTTTGCATGTATCTGTCCAATTTTCCCAACACCATTTATTGAAGAGACTATCTTGACTCCATTGTATGCTCTTGCCTCCATTGTCAAATATTAATTGAGTGTAATGGTTTGGATCGATTTCTGGCTTCTCTGCTCCATTCCATTGGTCTATATGCCTGTTCTTGTGCAAGTACAAGGCTTTTATGCTTATGGTGGCTTTGTAGTATAACTTGGTATCTGGTGTTGTGATCCCTCTAACTTTGTTCTTCTGAAGATTGCTGTGGCTTTCTGGGGTCTTTCTTGGTTCCATATAAATTTTTGGAGTATTTGTTCTAGATCTCTAAAATATGCTGATGGTATTTTAATAGGGATTGCATTGGGTAGTGTGAACATTTTAATGATATTGACTTTACCAATCCATGAACACGATATATTCTTCCATTTGTTTATGTCTTCTTCTATCTCTTTTTTCAACATCCTGTAGTTTTCCAAGTACAGGTGTTTATCACCTTGGTTAAGTTTACTTCTAAGTATCTTAATATTTTTGTTGCAATGATAAATGGGATTTTTTTTAGTTTCTTTTTCTGAGAATTCATTATTGGTGTATAAAAATGCCATTGATTTTAGATTTTTGAAATCAGGAATCCCTTTCTTGTTCCTGTTCTTAGAGGAAATGGTTTTAGTTTTTGCCCATTTATTATGATGTTGGCATGTAGGTTTGTCACATATGGCCTTTATTATGTTGAGTGTGATCTCTCTGCTCCACTTTGCTGAGAGTTTTTATCCAAAATAGGTTTTGAATTTTGTCAAATATTTTTTGTGTCTATTGATCTGATCATGTGATTTTTGTCTTTCAATTTATGTGATGTATCATGTTTATTGATTTGTGAATATTATAGCCTTGCACCCCTGGAATAAATCCCACTTGATCATGGTATATGATCATTTTAATATATTGCCAGAACTGATTTGATAATATTTCATTGAGGATTTTATTATCTATGTTCATCAGGGATATTGCCCTGTAATTCTCTTTCTTTTTAGTGTCTTTATATGGTTTTGAAATCAGGATAATGCTAGCCTCATAAATATTTTTATGATAATGATATAAGTATTTATGGTAATAAATTAAGTCCTGCTTTGGCCATACCACACACATTGCTGTATTTTTATTATTGTTTTTCTATTCCATAATTCCTATGACCCTGTAGTTATTTAGAAAAGTCCTTTTTAAGTGTGTAGACTTTTTAATTTCACTGTGTGGTAGTTAATAGAGTTTTCTTCTATTCATGATATAATTGATTTTTATAGCAATTCAAAGAACACCAGAAAGGTTATTTATCCACCTATACACATATGTGTATATTAAATTCAACCTCTCTGTTGTCCAAATCTCATATGTACTTATGCATCTACTTAATTTGTCACATATTTAAAATAGTTTACCTTTCTGTCAATAGCAAAAATTAAATTATCTGTAACCTAACCTAATTTTCTTAATTTAAAATCAACTTGGAAGTTTCAAGAGCAATAATTTAAAGTGCCTACAAATAAAATTAAAAGCACAGCATAACTATTCCTGGAAATGATAGGAAGCACTCCATAAATCCTAATGGCTACTATCTCTAGACCAGTGGTTCTCAACCCTCCTAATGCCACGACCCTTTAATACAGTTCCTCATGTTGTGGTGACCCCCAATTTCATTGTTACAAATTGAACATAATTAAAGCATAGTGATTAATCACAAAAACAATATGTAATTATATATGTGTTTTCCGATGGTCTTAGGCGACCCCTGTGAAATGGTCGTCCCCACAGGTTGAGAACCGCTGCTCTAGACACTCTTCTAAGTGCTTCATTCATTCATTGAATCCTAACAGCAATCAGTCTAAAGATCTTTAGTCTTCCTCTCATATTTACTGTAGCGACTAAGTTATCTTAACTAATTTTTTCACATCCTACTTCATGCTCGTCCATTTCTTTTCACTCTCCCTATCTTATTCTGGGCTCTCGGCTTCCTAGATCTAAATTATTGAAATGGTCTTCAAACTAGCCTCCCCATCCATCTTCCAATTTGCCCTACACATTTCTGCTAGCTGTTTTTCCTTACATATGACAATGTATACCACTCCTTTGTCAGAAAATACTCAATGATTTTCTCTCTGGATGGAGTTCAAGTATAGCAATTAGGATCCTTGAAAGGTGACTAATTGATTTCCCGTTATTTTTTTTAAATAAAAAATAATATTTTTTTATTTTAAACGTTTCCATTGCTTGCTCTCTGCATTCTTACTCTAAGGCCCAGCTGCTATCTTTTCTTCTTCGAAACCAGCCTTCTGGACTCTATAGATTATAATGATCCTATTCTCATTTTCCTGAGTGCATGGCTTGGTGGTATTTTTCTTTTCCTCAAGAAGTTTATAGTCTGCTTTATACCTGCTAGCATCCATAGCACCCTTTTTAGTTGTTTACGACTATAGCATTATTACATAAAACACCTGCAAACATTCAAATTTCATTTAAATATAAAAACTGCTAACAGATTCTTTTATTTATATAAATAGTTGACCCTGGATAGTTTTTGTATAACTATAACTTACCTTGCTGCATTGTTGAATAAATGACTAAGCTCAAAGATCTTACAGAAAGATATAGATTATTCCATACTCACATACATATAAAGAATTAGCAATAATGAGACTCTTTCCTCTATGAGCATAACTATTTGAAGTATAGTAAGAAGATATGGTGAAAAGCACTTTAACATGGTCAATGAGAGTGACTAAGGCAGGCATGTGTAGCTGTTTTCTGGTCTATTTTCACCAGCAGATCTCTATCAATGTCCATACCTTCCAGTCAGAAGTTCATACATTAGAATTCCCAGTGACCAGTAGTCGGCTGAAATGTCATGGCCTTTGTTCAGGATGATCTCTGGGGCTACATACTCTGGAGTCCCGCAAAAAGTCCATGTTTTCTTTCCAAATCCTATTTTCTTTGCAAAGCCAAAATCCACCTTACAGAGAGAAAAACAAGGTATCTCAAGCCCCTTTTGATTAACTTTAAAGGCAAGAAATCACTTTAATGAAGGACACTGATGACAATAATAATAAAAAAATAAAAACAGATATGTTATAGTCCTGTCTTCTAAAAGGAATCATCTATATTTCAAACAAAGCCTGCCTGATGAAACTTGGTTTCAATGGGGTAAGTTGAAATTTGAGTAGAGGATAAAATTCACATCATTAACAGTAAAGGAAATTTTTTTTCTAGAAATACTTTCCATTTTTTTCTTGTTTATGCCAATGGATGTTGGGTATAAATAAATAATTTCTCATTTACTCAAAATTTTAAAAACACTAGTTGGACCTACTTGACATATTTTCCAGCATATACATGATTTCTGCCACATTTAATGAAATTGAGAATTCATTAATATTAAGAAGACACTTTACTGTTGAATAAGCTAATAACAAAGTTATGGGACCAATGACTGCTCTTGGTAATCACAGATATAAAAATTAAGATGTTTATTTTTTCTAAAAACCATTTGAAGAAAACTTAAATGCAGAATATCTGTTTTTTTCTAAACAATTTGGTTGAGAATACAAGTAATTAATTTCCATTTATTTGATTTCTTTGAAAATCTTATGCTGAATAAAAAGTTTCAAAGTTAAAATATTGAAACTGGTACAGACAAGAATCAAAGCCTTCAAAAGTCATGCATTTAAAAACATATAAATAAATTAGAACTTACCTTCTACACTAGGTCTGTAGAGTTCTTGACTACATTTAAAAATATTTTTATTACTACTGCTATTGTTATTAACATGGTCTGGAAATTGTCTGCAAAGCCCATTTTTTCCATTTGCATTATTCTCAAATCTAAAATATTATAATGATTAATAATTTCCCATAATATAAAACCCAGTTTACTTTGGATGCAGAAAGCCAGCTAGAAAAAACTTCTAGCTCTTCTAGGTCTAGGAACACATGCCAGCAAGCACGAGTCCACGTCAGCCTGTTTTGCCAATTTAATTCCTCATAACTTTAAAGAATAGTTGCTTGAAAATAGTGACACTAAAATCTGCTTTTAAGAAAAGTTATGATACATAAAATGAAAAAATGAGATTTTATGTTACCAAGTGAACACAGCTTTATAAACCACTATTTTAAAACTGCAGGGCCAAGAATGTGGGAAGTATGCTGACCAGTTTGGCGTAGCCTCGGTGATCCAGGATGAGATTTTCCGGCTTGAGGTCCCTGTAGATGATTCCTTTGGAATGCAGATAGGCAAAGGCTTCTACCACACATGCTGTGTAAAATCTGGTTGTAGAATCTTCAAATGAGCCTCTGAGATACAGAATAGGGGAAGAAAAGTATGTAAGAAATTCATTTCTTTCATAAGGTCTTATTTCTCATTTCACTATATTCCTGTACCAAAATTTGACCCCAGAGACCAAATCCTACTGGCCAAATGGCCTCTGATGGCCACGGCATTGGGTTTTCAATGGCATTTAAAGATTAAGTCAAGGAATTCTTTGCCCTTATGAATAGGATAGTTTAATCTAACTTCCTGAAAACATTAAAGAAGAGTTCAAACACCACGTTTCGTGTACTTGGTGGCTTTCTCCCAGTAGCCCAGTAATAGTGGTAGGAAGAAGAGAGACAAATCTTATTTTAGAGCTTTATCTATCAACAGGCGTTTTTTAAAGGAGAGTTTTAGAGTTCAGTCATATTTATTCATGCAGGGCTTCTAAATAATATAGGTATGATTCATGAGAATGTGCTTAAAAGTTAATATTTTCAAGGACCACTTTGGAAATGAGTTGTGAGGCTTCTGATGCAATGATATCACAAGCGAGTATTCTTCTGTGCTTGCAACTGATGTCAGCAAGACAAACAACACCCATTTCTACAACTGCTACATTCTTATGAGGAAGAAAACCTGGGGCTCATGCCAAAGATAATTAGAAGGAAAAAGGTAATTGGATGGGAAAGTTTATTAGCAAACTTGATTATGATGATGGGCAGGAAAGCTCTCTTTGTCTCTGCCTCTCTCATATTTATTTAATGAAATAATAATAAAGGGAAACGCCTTGGCATCTAAGGTTAACTCCTAGGTTTGAGGCCAGAACCTATACTTCATTTTTTAGTGGAATTCCTTAAGAAGACCCACGATGATTTTCCCCTCTTTTCCCAGCAGTAAATGCAAGTTAATCATTTCATGATAATTCCAGAACATTAGTGTGAACATCAGCTCTTGAGGGGGCTAGGATGTAAGTTGAGGCTAGACTCGGGCAGTTTTAGGTGGTGAGCAACAAGAGGAGCCCCAGACTGGGCTCTCACAAGCGTCACTGAGGCCACTTTGCATTTTGATGGAATTTGCTT